AAAAAAACAAAATATGATACTGATATATATGATCCCAAAAATTGAAATGAAAATGTATGTAAAACACACGCAAATATTGAGAAAATAAAAAATACATATATATATATATATATATATATAAATATATACTAACAATATGTAATAACAACAGCAACAAAGTCGATAGTTTGAGCAAACATATTTGTTTTTATTTGTTTATTTATTTGATATTTTTCTGTTTGAATATACAATTTATGGAAGAAAATACGGAATATACAAAGAAACCAAGTGAAAACAAAAAAACAATTTTGAATGTTCTATAATGAAAGAATTCAAATAATATATAATAATAAACAAATAAATATAAAAGTAAGTATATGTGTGCGTGTATATATATGGTTATATATGATTATATATATACATTTACATATACACATGAATATATATATATATATATATATATATATATATATATATATATATATGGCTAGAGCTGATTTTGATTGATAAACAACAAGTAAAGAGAACGAAGTGTAGCTCTTAAGTTTTAGTTTGTAACTTTATGCCTTAAGTTGTAAGCTTAAAAAATAATAATATGAAATTAAATACAACATATTAAAAAGCAAACAAAACAAAAATAAAAACAAATACAAACAACAAACAAAAAAAGAATAAAACAACAACAAAACAAATGTATAACAAACGTGCCTTTTTTCTCTTCGTCTCTCTCTTTCTCTCCTCTGGCTAAGTTATAACATAGTAGCATGAGCTGAAGCTGTCAAGTAGCTGGCTTACATCACTGTTAAAAGACTCACTCACTGAAGGTGGGCTTACATTGGCAGCAGCAGCAGCTTAACAGTAATGGCGGCTGCCCCTGGCGCATATGCAAACAGTTTTTTCCCCTTTGCTAAAGTCTGTTTACGTTCTGTTAACTGCTGATCGTCTGGTATTTTAGCTAAATTTTTACACAAAACTAGTTGACCGACGAGACCCTAAATGGAGATGGGGAGTGACAAAGATGACTTGTGTCACCGGCCAACCGTTGTTATTTGCAATTTAATTGTTGTGTGGTTCCTATACAGAAAATGGCGTATTTTACCTACATACATACATACATACATATTTCTGCACACACTTGTCATGTACTCTAATTGCAGCGTGCTCTATTATTATTCCATCTCTATGTACGATAAACGATAAAATAACTAATGTATTTTCACCGCAGGACACATACATATCCACACTTACATACATATGTATGTATATGTCGGAACTCCCCTCATACTAATTCCACCTCCCTGTCAAACTAAGCCACGTGGCTAGCAAATACCTCAAGAATACAAGTGCACATGCAATTACATGCATGTGTATGTGTACACTCATACTACATGCCCTACATGGCATGTATTCAGACATACTACATGCCAAATAAAGTTTTGAACATCGAAAATGAGCCCGCTAATTTTACCTTCTCTATTAAAAACAAACGCATAATGGCTTATGTATACAAATTTGCGAATACTCTCCATATTTATTACAAAATTCATTAACAGTTTGGAGAGTTTGTTATTAATATGTATGATTTTTTTTTTTTTATTTTTTTTTAGAACGTCTGAGCTTTGACTTGTTTTATTTTATTTATGTTTATGTGTAAATAGCTTAAGCTATTGGTTGGAATCTATAATTAGCATCGACTTCAGTTTTGTATGTTACTTTAATCTAGATTATAATCTAGATACTCAATTACATGTAGTTGTATTACATTAAACTGTCCTTAAGAACAACTGTCCGCTATTAACATATCGCCTAGAGGCAATTTCGTCTTGATTAAATCTCTTGCAAATTCTTCTCTAGTTTTAAAAATAACAAACCATTTCATAAGGATATTTTCGAGTGTATTTAATTGTTTAGTTTAACTGGTGTTGCCCGTTTCAGTGGGACGCGGTGTCTAGAACGGGATGCAGATGCGGATGTAGTTGCTGTTGGCTTCCTGTTTATTAAAGTGAAGGAGGCTGTAGTCTGTTCGTGTTAACTTTAAGAAACAAATTAAGATAAGTGCGAGTCTCTAGTATAAGCTCTCAGTGTTCGAAGAGCGCGGCTTCTTCAACTTCTCCAGATTCTTTATAACTATGTCATGTAGCGAGGAGTAGCGATTGCGCACCTCGCACACCACCAGCCACAAACTGAGATACTCCTTCTCGTCGAGCTCGACGACAGCACGCCTGTAATCATCGATGTGTGGATACTTGGCCACCTTGGAGACAACCTTGGCGCGAGAGAGAAAGTATCTGGATATCTGGTCAAAGAAGGCAGCTGCCTCCGACTCCACTGTTTGGATTTCAGCCAGAGTGTCCTCCTGAATAGAAACGCCAAAGTTGTTACCATCCTCGATTTTGGGTATCATAAACGAGATCCACATCTTCAGTAAGTTCGCTAAACAATGCAAACAGGAAGAGAGATAAGGCATTAATTTCAGATGATTTTCTGACATGACAGCTACTCACAATCCTCGACCAGCTTGCGTATGATTGGTTTGACCACCTTGATCATTTCGCAAAGCGGCTTGTTGCACGGCACCGTGCCAGAGGGCAAGGTCAGTACAGTGGTACCGGAGACATCTTCTTTGCGAGCGCGCTTCGGCATGGGATGGTCGTCCTCAGCGTTGCCGTCGTTGTCATGGTTATTGAGCAAGATGGGTGCCATGACCGGAATGTTTAGATCCTGATGCACCTCACTGAAGTTGCGCTCATTGAACATGGCCGTGGACAGTAGCTCATTAAGTTCGACGATTTTTTCGGGAAAGCCTTTTGTGATCAAAGCCTCCGCTTTAGTAATCAGCGAGTCCTTGTACTCCTGAACCTTAGTTATAGTATCCTTGGGCATTTTTACCGTCTTTTCAAATTCAACTTTCGATAGAAATATCACAGCGTTCTTCGCCGGTTGTTCACTGTTCACTCGCAAAGTTCGCAACAGAAATTAGCGCGTGCTTCACGTTCAGCCGCTTGTGTTGGATAAAAGCGTGATACTATGTTAGACAGCGTTGACTGTGCAAAATGATCGAGTAATTCCAGTACGCCCGTTAGCAAGTGCAGCTTTTTAAATGCACTTTCCGCCCCAAAACTTACCAAATTGAAAAACTTCGAATGCCTTCGATGCAGTTCGGTCCACGCTTATATTTTATGACAGCTTCACCAGTGGTGAAATTCAAAGTATTGTAAAACGCCAACAGTTGTGCTTGCTCACAGCTATCGATTAACTATCGATCAACAATCTATATAGAAAGAGGTAGAATATATTTATCGACTTTTGGCGTTTGAAAATGTTGATATAATGTTGACTTTGACAACTCTTTCAAATTATTCTACAATTTTACTTTTAAGGGACCTATTCAGTGAACCTATTTGCCTAAAATAAATTAAAACAGCCACATTAGCGTTAAAAGATATAATGAATGTAATTTTACACATTAAACCTAACATGTATATATAGTCGTCAATATTTGAATATTTTTATATACACATAATAAAACACACATCCAAATATCACATTTATCTACTCACGATATGCTCCTGAACAGCTCCTCGGTTACAAATATGTCAGAAATTCAGCTTATTTTTCAAAATTGTGTACACTTGCTTCGACTGCAAAGCCTCTGTATGTTTTTTCCAGAATAACCGTAGTCCATCGATATTGTTCGTGCTCGCCATATCGATAAAGCATCGCATATTATTGCAAAATTGTGAGCCATCGATAAATATATCGATATGGGATCAATATCAACCATCAATAGCTCAGAGCTGAGCAGGAACATAGACATGGGAAATAAACAAATAAAACAGCATCTGGAGACAGCACAGAAGACGGGCGTGCTTAAAATATCGTTGCAAAGGCTGCAGGAGTTCCCGCCGCAGCTAAAGACATATCCCAATGTGTTGAAGACCCTTGATTTATCGGAGAATCGTTTCGAAAGTGTACCCGATGAACTGGGTAGGCTAACAATGCTGAAGCACCTCAATTTGAGTGGCAATCGACTGTCGGAATTGAACGAGGTGGTCGGAGAGCTGCTGAAACTGGAGGTGCTCCTGCTCATGAACAATTTCCTAACAAAGCTACCAAAGTCTCTAAGCAATTGCACACACCTCAAAACTGTGAATCTGTGCAACAATCAGCTCAAGGAATTCCCAACGATGCTCTGTGGATTAAAGCAATTGGATGTGCTGGACTTGTCACGAAATCAGATTACTGAGGTGCCCGCCGAGGCGGGCAACCTTTATGTAACCGAGCTGAACCTCAATCAAAACCAAATCTCGGCCCTGGCAGAGGAAATTGCTGATTGCCCAAAATTGAAGACGCTTAGGCTTGAGGAGAACTGCCTGCAGGCGATTGCACTGACGCCGCGCATCCTCAAAGATTCCAAGATATGCAATCTAGCCGTCGATGGTAATCTGTTCAATTCGAAACAATTCACCGATCTTGATGGCTACGACGTCTACATGGAGCGATACACGGCGGTTAAGAAGAAGATGTTCTAAATGTTATATTTTTCTATATATATCATATTCCATAATTAATTTATTAGCTTAAACCGAAATGCTTTCTGTGTTGTTTTCCGCTCATCCACAATAAAGAGACCAGTCACAAAGCCTCATAGCTTGCTCGGCTGCAGCAGGGCCTTCAGATGCGTGTGATAGCTGTGGTTGACAGCCTCCTGGTTAAGTGGATTGCGACGCGCCTCCTCGAACAGACGCTCGTACACGCGCCCATCCCAGCAGCCCAGCGTTGAGTTGAGCACGCGATCATGGAAGTCAAAGCCATCGACTAGAGCCACGGCATTGGGACGCAATGCGCCCAGCAGCTCTTCGTAGCGCTGCTCTAGCTGCTGCAGCTGCTGTGCACTAACGCTGTTCCACTTGAGTATGGCGCCCAGCTGGCGCTGGAATGTGTCCAGCACAAACAGTTCCACCAGCTGCTGCAGCAGCACAAACAGTCCCTGATTCGTGCTCCTCTTCAGCTGGGCCAGCTGCTCGAGGGAGTTGCGTGCCAAGTAGGCGTGGCCATGCAGTGTAGCCGCGGCCGCGAGTCGTCGTCCGGCGAAATTGTTGGCTTGCTGCTCAGTACGGCCGTGAGCCTGGCGCTGTTCCTGCTGCCATTGCCAGGCGTCGCGCAGCTGCCCACTGGCGCTGATCTCCAGCGCACGGGCTGCATTCTCGAGCATATTGCCGCCCCAGCTGAGAGGCGACGCATTGCGCAGATAGCTGACGCTGGCGGGCAGCACCTTGCGCTTAATCGCGGCCGTGAACTGGCGCATCAGAAAGCGGGCCGTCTGCAGCAGCAGCACCGTGTGCTCGCCCTCGTAGGTGAAGGCGGCGGCAGCCAAGCCATGGATGCTGTCAAAGTTGGCGGATGACATGTAGCCGTGCCCGCCGCAGGATTTGCGCAGCACATCGACGCCGTCGAGAGCGTCCTGGGTGCAGACGGCCTTGAGGCAGCAACTGAGCGCGTGCAGCTCGGCCAGCGGGCCAGCACCGTCCTTAGTCTCCACCTGCTGCATGACGCGCTGATAGAATTCCCAGAGCACGTCCGCCGCCAAGCGATAGCAGATGCCGCGCGCTATATGCGGCAAGATCTTCGCCTGCTGCGTCAAGTGGTCCAGGATCTGGGGCTCCTTTGCGTTCGGCTCAATGGGACTCTGGCGACGCACGGCGGAGTAGCTACAAGCCGCAATCAGATGCAAATAAGATGTGTCTATTCAAGGATGTCGCCTCACACTTACCGCGTGGCAATGGTCGCCGCTTGGAGCAGCTGGTACGTTACGTCCCGTACAATGACGACGCGCACATAGACCATGGTGCCGTACAGGAGGAGCGGCTGGCCAGCCTGCTTGAATTGGCCATCGGGCAGCACTTGGGCGTTCTTCATGAGCATCTGGTTGCGTGGTATGCGCACGTTGTGGAAGCCCAGGAAGCCATTGTTCACACCATTGGCGCCTATTTTGGGGCCGATGTCGCCCACATCGATGCCCGGAAGTGGCTCGTGCGTCTGCTCGTCCCGTATGCGCACCAGGAACGACTGCAGGCCGTAATGCTTGCCTCTGATGTAGAGCTGGGCCAGCACCACGACCATGTTGGCCGTGTGGCCCAAGCCGCCGGGCCACCATTTGTAGGCGCTTATCGTGGGCGTATTGAGAACAAACTCCTCTGTTTCCACATCATAGTCGGCGCGCGTCTCCAGGCCGCGTATGTAGCTGCCATGGCCGAGCTCCGTCTGGGCATAGGTGCCCACAATGCCATCCATGTTCCAGGCGCGTGCCAGCCAGCGGCGTTGCTGCTCCTCGTCGCCCTGGTTCAGCAGCGTGGGCAGAAACATGGCAAAGTGCAGGCGCAGCGGGAAACTCTGCGGGAACAGACCCGCGGCCAGAGGACCAGTCATCAGTCGACGGAAATCGTATATCTGTTCGATGTCCACGCGGTCCTTATCCTTGTCCTGCTGCTGGGACTGGGACTGCTCCTTTGCCTGCCATTGCCGCATCTTGGCTATAAATCTGGCGCCCCTAGCCAGGACATGCTCGTAGCGCTCTTTGTAAGACAGGCAGCTAAAGAGGGCAACATCGTCGAATTCCGGATCGCTGAAGAAGTATTGCTCCAGCTCACGGCGCTTCTCCAGCTGGTCACGCCCACCTGCCCACCACACAGCAAAGTCTTCGGTGGCAATTGTCGCCGCCTCGCGCTCTTGCCTCAGTTCACTGCACTCGCCACTGTTGACCTCCATTGTGTTGAGTTTTTTTTTCCACTGTTCTATGCGTCGTTCACAGAGTCTTACCAACAACTAACTGGGCGTGAACAGGTTCTACAGCTTATCAGCTTCAGCTTGATCTTTTCATATGCCACATTTGTGCATCGATAAGATACGCGTACTACTTTGGACCCGTTTTTGCATTATATGCATATCTCATGTTGACATTAATACAGCGGAGGCTAATGAAGGAGAGGAACACATCTAGTTTATGGCAGACAACTCTTGGCTGATCTCTTCACCGCACACAAGTAAACAGCATATAAACTTGCGATAAGGCGCGTTTAGTACTTTGCACCAGATGGGTAAATCGTATACATATGCATATATTATATATGAATATGTATATGTATGATGTTTATGAGACGCTGATAGATCGATCTGTCTGATTGGACTCTCTGTTCGAATTGCTGCAGCGGCAAGTGTAAGAGAAAACTAATGTTTCTTATTGGATTCGATAGATTTCTGGCGTTTGTGCGCATGGTCACACTTTTATGCAACTGGCGCGCCATAACACGTGCGTTCGAAATAACTTTTAAAATAAGCAATAAAACGGCCTGGTATTCATTTTCACTTTGTTTTCTTTTATTATTATATATATAGAAAAAGCGACACAGACATTTTGTTTTGTTATTATTTGTATATGCATATGTAAGTATGTTAATACTAAAACGACAAAATATTTCATGAATTGTGCCCGATTCAAAACCAGGCGCAACTTAGACAACAGCTCATTTGCGTTAGCCGGCCTAGACGAATCGAGTTGTGTAACAGCTGATGAGTCCAAGTAACAGAGTAACTCTCGGCTTATAAACTATGTAAACACATGCACATATTGTACTATGTATCAAATATTTGTTTATTCTTCGTTTTTCATTGCTGGCATTCCCGAAATAAAAATCATTGCAAATATATATTTTCGACTAACACGATGTTGTGCTTGATTCTCTGTCATTCATTTTTACGATTACTAGTATAACAACTGGACAAAAGCCCGATTTGGAGTGAATCGATAACGATCGACTCGGTCTATAGCTCTTACTGGGAATGAGGAGATCTTTTTGTATTTTGTATTTTGCATTTGCATTTTCACTTGAATATTGTGTTGCTGTATTCAATTATTGTTTTAGCGCTTGTTAACATTTTGTTGCCTCCTATCAGATTTCCTCGGCTCCTATCCTCTCGTTGTGCTCGATTAACATATACGTATATATTACTAATAGTTCTCTCAAAAACAAACACATTCACGCTTCATTCATGCATACAAAATAGTATTTGGGTCTTACAGCGATTCTCGAGATCTTGGATATACATATGTATCTAAGCTTAGTTGCTCAAGTGTTTTATTCGTTATAACAATGTTTATTGCTGGGTGCCTGCCCAGCTTATCAACAGATTTCATTTTGGTTTCGCCTAGTTTTATTTGTGTGCTGCGATAAAAATAAAAATTTAGATCTGAATCTAGATAGCCAACACACACGCACACATATATATATGTATATTTCTAGATGGTCTGAATGTAAACAAAGATATGTAAACTAAATAAATTCCTTCAATTTAAATAATATCCATATATTGTTAGCAAACTCTTCAGACTACCCTCGCAGTTACTCATATATGAATATAGGTATGCATGTCTGCGGTAGCAACTATTACAACAACTTGGCTGTGCATACATCATGTGTCCAATTATTCCAATCTGCACTAACACTAACACACGCACAGATACAGCTTTATACCATAAACTAGATATTACACTCCATCTATTATTAAATAGTTAAAGCAAAGCACAAGAAACAAAAACAAAACGAAATGAGTACAGCTACAATTTGCGGCCATTTGCACACTTTCCCATGAATAGAAGATGAAAGAAAAACAAATTGTTATAATCATAAAAAACATCATAATCATAATAGTTAATAAATAAAGATTCTAGATAATCGTTTGACAATCATATTTCACATTTGTTATTTTAACATACACACATATATACACATATAAATATATATGTATCTATATCTATACATATACACATGCATATATGTAGACATATGCATATAGGATCATATTACATATCGTATTACAGCTACACTTTCATTTTGTATACTTAACATTAAAGTTTCATAACTTTATCAATCGAGCTACAATTTCATTTTAACACATACTCTCAACACTCACATACACAAAATAGATCTATATATAACACGCATATGTATATATTAAAAAAAAATACATAGTAATAATAATAATTAATATAGTTATAATAAGCTTTATAATAATAATAATAATAATAATAATAATAGAGCTACGCACAACAGACATAAATCGAGAAATAAAAATAGTTTTTTGCACGCTCAACATTTAAGTATACATACATAAATGTATATATACATATATATATATCAATTGTATATTAATATACATACATATATATACATACATCTCTTTACAAATATTCGTTTTAACAAATGCAGGCTTTATATAGTAGTTTGTTTATATGGTATAGTATGCACATAAGTATTCCCTTATATGTGTGCCCTATTTGTTTATAGACTTTGAATCAATTTTAACATTTAGCATTACAATTATTGATCTTTACATACATTCACATGTCATATTTTATATGTTTTATTTTATCATTTCATTTGAAAACTTGCGTTAATTCACATACAATACAATCTACCATAACTATATCCATATGTATATACATACATTTGACTTATGCTATTACTATATATACATACATACATACATATGTATTTATATAAACTCTATATAACTGTGTTGATTCTTAAACGTGCTTGCTTTCCGCTTGCTTTTTGCTTTTCGTTTGCTTCTACTCTTCACATTTTGTTATTGTTTTTAGTTTTATGTACTTTTCTTGTATTGAAATTGTTTTTGTTTTTGTTTTTAGTGGCACAGCCACGTTTTGAACTTTAGGCCTTGTTTCCAGCTCTTTCTACTTTTTGTTTTACTCCGGCTCTGCCTCGGATCTCTTCCTGCTACTTCTTCATCTGTACCTCCTGCTCCTGCTCCTCCCCCTTCTCATTCGATGGTTCCAATTTTTGTTTGTTTTGTTACATTTGTTGCTATGTCTCTCAGTCTCTCTGAGTTTGTGTGTTTGCTGGGGCTTGTGCGTATCAAATACAGTTAGAGTGCCACAGAGAGTAAGATGCGGGCAGAGCAGAGAACGAGTCAGAGGGAGACAGTTGTAGAGAGGGAGAGAGAGAGAGAGAGAGAGAGAGTAAAAGAAAGAGAAGGAGCTAAGCGACAGACGAGGAACCCACAAACGTTCGCGTGATGATGACAATTACAACAACAACAGCAACATCAACAACAACAATAATGACGACGACGACGACGACGACGACATTGACGACGATGACGCCGACGGCAACAACAAATGACATCAACAACAATAAAAACAACAATAATTTCAACTACAACAATAACTAAGTAGAGTCCGTTGAGCAGGCGACGTGGACGGCGTTGCAGGGCGGCGCGTTCGTCTATTTGGTTTCATCCTGATCCATCGGCTCTTCGGAATCATCACGCGAGAGCGTTCTACACAAGGAGAGAGAGCGAGAGAGAAAGGTATTAGCATACATATATATATATATATATATATATATTTACATAGATCATCTGATTGCTCACCTGTGCAGCGACTGCATGGAGAGGCCGGCCATGGCGTTGACCGTTTCAGATTCATCGTGCTCGATCTTCAGCGCATCCAGCGCAGACAGACCTACTGTGTGCTCCAGCAGTCGGACGCAGGGCCAATGCGTTTGCTAAATGGAGAGACAAACACCAGAATGAGTATGCCGATCAGTATAAATATGTATATATATATATATATATATTTGTATCTGTGTAACTATTCGTATTCTATTGGAATTTCATATAGTAGTGAGATATACATATGTAGATAAACGCATCTATGTATCTATATCTAATTGTATGTCTACATATATAACTGTACATTGATTGTATTCGTATGTCTATCTATCTATATTTCACTGTATCTGTATCTCCATCTAGCTATATATCACTATATCTATATATCTATGCAATGGTTGTATCATACATATATTCATAAAGATTTGTATGTATTTAAATATCCAATGATTCTTCCTGTCTTCCTGAGTCTCGATAATTCGTACCCCGTTTAATCAAAAATCGCGAAAAATCGAACAAATTCTATCTCCTTGAACAAAATTCGTTTTCAATAATTTGAATTTCTGCGTAAATCGAAAATCGAGTTATAGGAACTCGACTGTAGTTTATCTATATATATGTATCTATATACCATTGTATCTACATCTGATTGTACCTATATATTTAAATTTATCATTATATCTATATATGTAAATGTAGACATAGGTATTATATCTCTCTCTATCTATACTTTTGCATTTCAGTCGCCCCAAACAGCCATTTCAGCTTCAGATAAGAATTGAACCAAAAATCAATATGTTGAAATTTATTGAATAAGAACTTCTATTATGAACAGATCTGTGTATTGGAATCAGACAGCCATATTATATAAATTATATGCTCATATCGTATCAAAAAACCATAAAGAAAAGTCTCTGATATCTCAATCAAGTTTAGTTTTGAACAGGATCAAGTATTCCATTTTTGAGTTAGGATCAAGATTTCATAAGCTAATACAGCTATTGTGCAATAACAAGAACCTAACGAAAATGAGTAATAATTTAAGAAATTCATTAGTTTTCAGGGATCTGATCCAGATTCAGATCACATATATAAATCGAGTTAATTTTAATGAACGATTCCCGCATAATACAGCTGCATCAAAATAGACATTCTATGGAACTTGGAGATCTAAAAGGTATATGTATATATCGGGCAATCAGCTCACCTGTATGGCTATAGTCTTCTGCAGCGTATTGATGGCGTTCTGGCAGGGCGGCCGCTCCAGTTCGCTGGGCGCTATGGGAGCAGCCGGATCGCCGAGGAGGGCGCGCACGCATTCCTGCGCCGAATCACAAATGGCCGCCAGATCGTAGCCGCCCTCGAGGGCCAGCACCACCTTGCCGTTGGCCAGCTGGAGCAGTTCGCGTGTCATCAGACCGAAGCAGGCGGGCGATACGTGATAGCCCCCAAGTGGAGCCGGATGCCCAGTGGCCGCATCGAAGCCCGAGGAGACAAGCACAATGTCCGGATTGAAGCACTTGGCAATGGGCATCACAACGGTACGGAATGCAGCGATATACTCGGCGTCGCCCAGCGGTGGATTCAGAGCGCCCGACCACGAGATGTTCACATTGTAGCCGAGACCAGCACCGGAGCCACACTGCAGCGCCAAAGCGCGAGCGAGATGGAAAGAGAGAGAGAGAGAGAGTGAGAAAGGTATAAGAAAAAGGTGCAATTAATTAAATGTCATTTAAAAGTTCTAAAATATACATAATCCTCTCTATATATAGCCTATATTGCTTGAAGCACTTCTTCTTCCTATAGCATGTCTAATACAATATATTCCTACATCTACAGCTAGGGGATATAATAACGGAATATACTCTGTAAAATGATTTAGCTAGAAGAACACAGATCATAAATTGTTTAAAGGAGATCATATAGCGCATATCGTTTATCATGTAAGACCGTATGTGATTAGGGATGGATTCACGTGAACTTAACAAAGATACAAAAAAATTAAAATCAAAATCATAGAGCATAGATCGTTGATCGAAGATCGCAAATCGTTGTCCAGAGATCCTAAAATTTGAATCATAAATCGTGAAGAATAGATCATGAAGAAATGTAAATCATCATCATAGATCATAGATCTTAGATCGTTGGCTGTAGATCATAGGTCAGAGTTCAAAGACTATAGAAAATACACGTAATCAAGGATCATAAGATCATAGAGAAAGCCAGTGCAGATCAGGACTTAATATATGACTTACAAATTCATATACAATAGAAAACGGTAATAACGAATCCGCTTATAGCGTCTGTACAGCTATTGCGACGAAAATTCTGATCCCCAGACATACTCATATGATCTTCTCTCGGCCTCTCATTACAATCGGACTCTATTATTATATATATTAGGTTTTCTTGAGGCTTGAAAAACTGAAGCATGCAGACCATGGAGCATAGACCCAAGATCGTAACTCGTAGATCATAAATCATAGAAATCATGTAAGTCAGATCATAAATTGTAGATCTTCTGTAATATATCACCGATCTTAGCTGGAAGAGCATATTTCATAGGGCAATCCCGGCTGTAATTTGTAGATCAGGGATCTTAGATTATGGATCATATTACGAATGAGGTCTTCCTCAAAATAGTGCTAGCATATCTAGTGGGGTTCAAGCGAGGCTGATGTGAAATATCTCTTACTTGACTATTATCGAATGACACATATTTTCAACTATATAGAAAATCGATCATTATCGATAGTCCACTAAAGTTGGCTACTGAACGAATGAATGATATAGAGTCATCCTTTGGCTTACCTCAGTGGGGCCACCAGTGCCGGGAAAGAAATTACCGTCATCGTGTCGATGTATGGAAAGATATAGAATGTCGGGACTTTGGTAGAATGCTTGCTGAGTGCCATTGCCATGATGGACATCCTAGAGGGGGAGAGACACGGAGGTTAGTATGCGAGGCGAGCAGGGGAAAGTGGGAGAGTTGGCTTGCCCAATCGACGATGAGGATGCGCTTCATTTCGGGCACGCGCTGACGCAGCAGCTTCGCGGCGATGGCGATGGAGTTAAAGAAACAGAAACCCATGGCCAGGTTGGCCTCTGCATGGTGGCCGGGCGGACGGACGACGGCGAAGCCGTTGCGCAATTCACCTTTGGCCGTTTTGAAGGCCAGATCGATCACACAGCCGGCGGCCATGCGGGCGGCCGTTGCCGTATGATGCTCGTTCCAGGTGGTGTCCAGATCGACGCCCAGGCCGCCGCAGGACAGCCGCACGAAGCTCGCGCTGAGCGTGCTCTCCAGCTTGGGCCGGGTCAGCTGGCCCTGGTTCGAGCCAAAGAGCATCGCGTGCGCCTCCGTGTGCACCGTCTGCAGCTCCTCCTGCGTGGCCTTGCGGGCGCGCAGTCGATCGCACCGCTTCACCAGATCCGTCTCGTTCAGCCGCGCCCACACGCTCTGCAGCCGCCCGCTATGCTCCGGATGGGGCGCGTTGTCGCCGCAAATGCACGCGTGCTTCAGCATCAGCGGATCGTAGGCCAGTCCCGTTGTGATCTTCTTGTGCGCCGGCAGTCCGCTCTCCACCGACGACTGCTGCTGCTGCTGCTGCTGGTGATGCTGTCGCAACTGGGCCGCATAGACGTTGCTGAAGAGCTGGCGCTTGTGGGGCAGCGACAGGTTGACGGGCGGAATATGGTCGGCCGACGAGGACGTGGCGATGGGCGTCGGATGCTGCCCTGTGTCGGGTATCTGGCTGAGGCCGTGGCCCGGCACCAGGGGGCTGCTGAGGGTGCGCGAGAGCGGGCGCATCAGGTCCTTGGCCAGCTCCTCCTCGTGCAGGTAGAGCAGCTCGCGCTGCTGCTGCAAATACTCCTGATCCCGCAGCTTGCTGGACTTGGCGGCCGCCCGATAGGAGGCGGCGGCCAGGGCCTCCGGCAGATTCTGCGAGGTGCTGGTAGCAATCGTGCTGGTGAGCACCGTCTTGGGCGGCTTCTTCTTGTCCGTCAGGTCCATGACCTCGGCCGCCGTGTCGTCCTCCTCCTCGCGCAGCTGCAGCTGCGGCTCGCGTATCCCAGCGACCACAGCCGCCGCCGCAGCCGCGTCGCTGCGCGTGAGCACCTTCTGGCGCAGCTTCTGCGTGAGCACCTGGTGCTCGTACGCCTGTCGCTCCGCCTGCCCGAGAGAGGAGAGCGGAAAGCGGAGAGCGGATTAGCATGGAGTAGTATGGGTGCACATGTGTAAATGCATGTGGACTTACCTCGCTGTTCTCGTAGTGCGTCTGCACCACGCTCAGCTGGCTGGCGCCCGTGAGCATGGGATGGCCTAGGGGCAGGGGCGCCGATTGGGTGCGTCCCAGTGGACGGTGGCCCTGCTTGTGCAGATGCACCTGCGCCACCTGGGCGTCCGTGATGGGCGCGTGTGCGTGGGCCACCTGCTGCGCCTGCGCCTGCGCCTGCTGCTGGTGCGCACTGTAGAGCGCATGGGCGTGGCTGTGGCTGTGGCTGTGGCTGTGGCTGTTCGAGGGCGGCAGCGAGCCAGCGGCGGCAGCAGCAGCCACCGCCGCCACGGCCGCGTGGAGATTGACGGCAGTGCTGCCGCTCAGATGCATATAGGACGAGGCCGAGGTGAGGGAGGCGGCATGCGCCTGCGGCGGCGCCGTGTCGCCCACCAGCGAGGCCTGCGACGAGGACGTGGACGTGGCCGAGGCGGAGCGCACCACCGGCGACGGCTGCGGCGCAATGCCCGTGGCGGGCATCATCGAGAGCGGCGGCCCCGGCTGCCGCCCGCCGAACGACATCGCCAGCGGATTGTAGTAGGTGGGCGGTGTGCCAACGCCCACTCCCACGCCCACGCCCACGCCCACGCCGGGCACATTCACGGGCGGCGCACCGGATCCGGCGGCAGCGGCCGCCGCATGCTGCTGCAGTGCAGCGAACATGGCATAGTTGGCCTGGCCCGCCTGGGCGTTGGTTAAATGCGGACGGCCCAGCGATATGTTTGGCAGGGAGGGCGAGCTGAAGAGCGGCAGGTCGTTGATGCTGCTCCGCTGGCCGGGCTGGTACTGGCTGCCCTCCTCGTTCTCCTCCTGGATGGGCGCGCTGGTCGGTGAGCCGCGGCTACCGACCACGCCCACCGACAATGTCGTCGACGAGGGCGGCGAGTTGGGGCCCGAGTCTGTGGTGCTGTTGCAATCTTGATGACGATGGTAGCGGAGGAGGAGGAGGAGGGGTGGGCGGGAGAAGAGAATAAAGATCATAAATTACTAATTGATTGATTGATTGATGGATTGAATGAATGGCCATAGATGGAATGAATGATTGATTGAATACAAAATCTTTTCATGTGTTTTTCAGTTTGTTTTTTTTTTTGTTTGGCCATGCGGCAGCAGGAGCAGCAGGAGCAGCAGCAAGAGGCAGCAGCAAAACGCAGGATTAATTTCAGATTAGCTTCGATTAATGTATTCACAACAACAACAACAACAACAACGGCAACAGCAACAACAACAGGTGTTAAATTCAAAAACAACAACAGTAATAAAAAATAAATTTAAAAAATTAAAAATTATTAAATTATCAAAAATTATAAAAATAAACTTTTTGTTCGCTAGCAAAAGCCGCGCGAAGAGAGAGAGAGAGAGAGAGAGAGAGAGAGAGAAAGAGAGAAAGAGAGCGCGGAAAAAGAAATAAATTTATTTTCGTTACATGTGTGTGTGTGTGTGTGCGTGTGTGTGTGTCTGTTGGGGTGTGTAGGGGACTGTGTGTGTGCGTGTGTGTGTTTATAGAAATTGCTCAAGAAAATAAACATATGTATATACATATATATTGATCAACTTATAGGATAAACAAATGGACTAAAAACAAATTCATAAAGTTTTCTTCAAATTTGCATTACAGTAGAGCCCGGCTATAACGGAAGACGCTATACGCATATAAGTCTGTTTGGATAGCAAAATTATCGCCACATTAACCGTACGACGGACGATAAGTTCGAGATTCCCTCCGTAAACCTAATGGATCATCCCAAACTCAAGCTTCAATTTGATCTATGTTCGTATAACTTGTTCATTATGTATTATATTCATCCGCTTATATGAATACATCTATATATAGCATATATGATGAAGATTCGGTTCGTTTTGGATGGCTCAATTTGAGAAATCTACGAATTTTGCAATCGAATATAGGAATATATTGGGACTTGTATATAGACACAGCGAAATGTTCGAGAGATCATTGAATGGATTGATGGATCTATTATGGATTCACAAATATATACATACATATATATTTGTAAAGAGAGAGCGAGAGAGAGAGAGAGAGAGAGAGAGAGAGATATGTATAGATGGACTGATTTACATAGTAAAATAGATCTTTGAATAGTTTTCAAATGCTAAAATTCGATTGTTTATACAGAGAGAGAGAGAGAGAGAGAGAGAGAGAGAGAGAGAGAG